CTTGTGTTTCGATGATCATTCTCCCTGGTTCCTTCACAACAAATGCAATCTCACATGTGTGATAGGTAATAAAGCATGTAATGTATAATTCCTGAGATAGTTAAAATCGAAATTAATAGGCGGGTAGTTATGTTAAGGCGATGTTGGTTGGATTCTCTCCTTTTTTGGTGAAATTCCATTAATCAAATCAGAGAAAAAGCCTAAACTAAGCCATACTTTGACTATATTATTATTCGAAATTGCAAAACTCAGCTTACTCGATTAGAGGTGGCTCTTCCGAGCCGCAATGGATGCATTCATGCTGCTTTAATCATAGTGACAGAATTGTTTTCCTTTCGGCCTCGGATACTGCGCCGAGGTGCTGCATTGCTACTAGCAGGCTTACCCTGCAACCAAAACGGCTGTTAAGCAACCTTGAGGTGCTTGAGGTGGTGAAACAAACTCCTTTTATGTGCAGCGTTGAGAGGTTTGAGCTTTCATTCTCTTATCCATATTTGTTGAAGTTAAGCCAAGTAATGCACGCATAGGAAGGCAGTGGTGAGCCAAATTTTGTCTATCATAGACTTACAAGTTGCAGTTAGATAAAAAGTATTGCATTGATAGTAGCACTATCTTCAAATTGAAAAAAAAGCATCACTCATCTTTTGAAGCCTTCTTATTCCGCTGAAACACTCTAAATAACAATCATACATACGAGTTAACGGTTTATTTATTCAAATTTGGGTGGGGGGAGGGTCAAATGATGAGCAAAAATAAAGATCATGCATTCAATAAGGTTTGACTGGCTGGAAGAGTTCGTTAAATACATACTACAGCATTGACCTTTTGTGGCTTTCAATAAACCAAAACGAAGTCACCGGTAAATAGCTACGATTATGGGGAGGAGAAAGGCAAGGTTCTTGTGCAACTAAGAGGCGCTTGGCATCCATTTGATGCTGAATCATTGGGTGGGAAGGGTAACCAAAACGTGCGTCATGAGATACTTCGAGAAAAGATGGAGATTGCAACCACTAAACTGTGTAGTTTCAGGTGAAACAGAACAGCGAATGTGCTTGCAATTAAATGGCAAGTGATTTAGGAGAGTAAATTTCTCCCCATAAACTCTCACTTCTAGCAAATGTGTGGGAATAATAGCCCAGGTATAATAAAAACGATGCACTGCAATGTTTAAATTGTGTGATTTGGAAAAATGTAAAGAGGATTCTCAATAGAAGAAGAAGTTTCACAGTTCGGAGTGGAGAAAAGAATACTGCGCCTATGGCAAGTCTTGTTGTACTTGTTAGTGTTAGTTTCAACTGCCTTCCTCTGGAATCAGAGGGCAGTGGAGGAGTGGATTTTGTCACTGATTTCATGAATGTACTAAAGTCTAACCACCTAGACAGGCGAATTTTTTCCTTACCTGATTCACTATGCTAACGGTGTTAATTGGAGCGTGTTCAACATCCTATTTTGTCTACGTTTAGCATATTTTATGTTATTTTGGTTAAATAAAAGGAGTTAAAAACAGTAGCAGCCTGAGCGGATGCCTAAATTTTGAATCCGATCTCGGC